TGACGCTAGGACCACAAAAGCCATTGAATATCTTGAGCAATAAAAAAAGCCTTTGTTTTGGTTTGTTATGACAAAACACCTGACTCAAAGAATAAGCAGCTAGATAAAAGTACGTTTTAAAAGTTGGCACATGACCTGAGCTGTATTTTGCTCTGTCTGAAGTATCTGCAAATACCTGGAGCTTTTTGTAGCAACTGCTTTTAAAAAAGCCACCATAAGTGGCAATATATAGGGACAGAAAAGACTTTTCTCTACACTTATTGATCAGATGAGACCTAGAGGATATTCCTGAAACATTGCACATACTTTTTTTTCTGTTTGTATTTATGAAGAGACATGATGTAGTGCTTCAAACTCCCACTTTTAAGTAACTGTCCACCCTCCTTGCTTTCTTTCCCCATCCTGAAATTTCAGAGCAGCATTTTCTGTGTGGAATGTCTCATGTCCAAGTCCACTGTGTCACTCCCTTGGCTGTCAAAACCTGGGGGCATGGAGGGATCCCCCGGGGTTTAGACTGGGAGAGGAGGGCCTTGAGCTACTCAACACTGACCCCCTCTGACTATGTCACAGGACTGTGCCCGCAACTTTGCACAGCCCTGCTTTTTTTATAAGCAACGTCAGGGGTAGGAAAGGGTGAGAAAGCACAAGCAAATGGAGGATGGACATCAGAGCTTGAAGTGGGATCTATAATCTAGTATCCCTGACGAGTGTTAAGTATTAAAATGTTTCTGCAGGATAACATTAAATGTCCTGAAAAATACCTCCCTGTCATGGGCAAAATGAGTCATCTCGGAGGACTAAGGCTATGCTTAGTGAACAAACTGTATTTCAGTGAAAAGAAATTGAAATGAAATCCCTCTACTTTGGCAGAGATAAATTGCCATATGTTGCAAGTTGAACTGTAAGACTGAAGGGAAGTTACGATTAGGTGGCAAATAAGACAGAAGCTGCAAGGACCTCACTTGAAGTTTGACATTTCAGTGCAAAGTTAGCAACTGTGGCTTAAAATATGAGACGCGTTTAAGATTAAAATACAAGAGTCTGTACTATTTGCATTCCGTGTGTTGCTAAAATAATGTTTAAGAGGACCAAAGGCTCCTACAGTCAGAGAAATAATTTTAAATGGAGTTTTTCAATTCCATTAAGACATAGAAAATCAGTCAGTTTTACACAGCGTGCCTCTGACTGTGAAGCCTAATGTATGAAAGCCTAATGTAAGAAATAAAAACATAGCACATTTTTCTGCCGGTAATCCACCATATTGCACATGCACTCGCGCATCTGTGAGAGCGGTGGTGTGGGTACACAAAGCAAGCTGTACGCTCTCACAGCCCAGCTGTGCGCCGCAGTTTCAACCCAAATGTCGTAATGCATGTCTTGAGTACTGAAAGGAGGGCGTGGGTGGTTTTATTTATTACTTTAACCTGGGAAGAAGCAGAAAGTATTTGATGGGAGAGTGGTAAGTGGTGAGAACTTTGTTGCAGAGGTTTGTGCTGAAGAAACTTCTTTGGTATTACAAAAAACCCCAGCCCTCTTACTGTGTCATGCACATTCTGCTCTCCTCCTGTGAAATAGCGAAGCCCTTTATATGCTGCTTTGCCTTGTGCTAGCTGAATATGTTAGAGTTGAGTTGAGAAGATGAATGTGCTTCAAGGACCCAAGTGCTAGGGGTTGTTGTGTTTTGACAGTTGTGAAAGGCTCGTTGGTGGGCTGGGAGCTACAGTGCTCCCAAATTTCGTGCGGCAAGCCTATCGGCAGAGAAGCAAAACAGGCGTCGAAGCAACACTGGCTGTTGCTGGTCATCACAGCTGGACCTGAGTGCTTTGTGGCCAGGGCTCAGTTCTGCCGCTGCTCTTTGGGGACCAGCGTTTGTGCTCTGCAACACAGTCTCTTTTTGCCGGCTCTTCTCTCCCTGGTAGCAGGCACAGAGGTGCTGAGACAAAAGTGAGCCAGACTACTTCCCCCAGTTTATCCATAATCTTTTAAACTGAATTTTTAATCTTTTTCACGGGGAAAAGAGTATTTTAAATGTTGAACATCCAGATTGCTTAATACACGTACTGCAAAAATCCCTCTGAGCTGAGTTGGAGCCCTCCTCACACGGTTCAGGGCAGCATTTTAAAACTGTTGCCTTATGCCGATATGAAAGGACAAAACAGCAGAAGATCCATGGTGAAGTCAGAGAAAATATGGAAATACAGCAGTTCTTTCTTTGGCATGTGCAGTAATTGCCCTTTTGGCTCATAACTAAGTAGACTGATTTCTGCATCCTTGTTAATTTTGATCGTGCAGTTTGATGTTGGTATAAGTAATACATCTGAGAACTGCATAAACACTCGAACTGACTGTTTGTTCTGGTGAGTTCTTATAACTTTCTACGGCAGAATAACAATGTCCCATTTATGCTGAGTAGCAATAGATAGCATTTTTGTAGTCATTACTTCACACTAAAGAATGATCAAATGGTACTTTAGAAGAAAAAAAAAACTTGTCAGGGAAAAAGGCAAAGAATGCACATATACATTCACAATATACCGATTGCTGAGAAAAGCAAGAAAATTATCTTTGTGGTATCCAGATCAACTTTGTGTGTTTTGCCTTGAACAGGGCTAATTACTAATGAAAAAATTGGTCCTTGCTGTTGGGATAATTATAACTGTGGGTCACTGTGAGCAGGATTTGTTATGGGGAGCTTTAATTATACTTCTACTTGGCTGTTTGGCTGAAGCAAACAAGGACTCTGTTCTTTCAGAGAGAAAACAAAAGTAAAGCTAGTGACTTCCTTCATTTCGGTGCCCACACAGAGGTCTCATCCCAACTCACCAGTCCTCAGAAGAAGAGGACTGCTTCTTAATTTTAAATAGGCAGATTGTGGTTAAGGGATGTGTTTTGTTAAACCAGTCTAGAGAAGACATTTGTGTAACCAGTAAATTGTAGCAATTAGGACAAATGATGCTGATGTACAGCATGATTTTTAGCTAATTCATTTCACTTGTGCTCTTGAATCATTCTCTAACCAGTTTCTTTCCTGCTAGGATATCAAATAGAAAACATATACACATATATGATACAGCAGTGAACTCCTGCAGAACTGTCTGAATACAGTTTGCTATTGAGACTCAGGCCTAGATATTGTCAGTCACTCATGGCTCCTGGTCTGATACAAACAGTAAAGTTCTGTTAACCCTATCTGGACCTCTGATAAAAATGTCAACTTTGAAATACATGAAACATCTGAGAGAGAAATAATGTAAAAGCTTCATCCGTAATGCTTGATATATAGGAGACTTCTGTAGATTGCTGCTGGAGTATAAAGGATGAGTTTAGCTATGACAGGCGCTCCAGACTTCATCTCAACTTAGCATCTGTAACCAGTGAACCTCAGCAGGTAGAGCACAGAGGCGTCTCAGAGGAAAAGAAAATTACAGGCATCACAGAACTGAAAGTTGGTGTAGCTGACTTAGAAAAAGATTTCTCTCAATGAGAGGAAAATGTACCTATCCGTGAAACTTTTAAGATGAACTCTACAGCAGACAACCTATCCTGAAAGCACACAGTTCATTCATTCTAGGTGCAGAGGGAAAAATTGGTCAAAAACTCTGAAGTTTTTCACTTTGAAATAGATTTTCCTAGTTATATATAGTGGGGAAAAAACAGGTGTGGTTTTTTCTCTTTTTTTTAATCAAACTACAGTGAAACCAATGTCTAATACTTAGACTAAGAGAATATCAGAAGTAATAGGGCCTTCAGATGGTGGGCCTTCCCAGCGTGGGGGTAATTGGGAAGGTCTTCAGTGTTGGTGAGTCCAGACCCTACCGGTTTATTTCTTACTGGAGGCAGAAAATGCTACTCAGGAATGATTAATTTCCTTCTCCAAACACAAGGCAAAAAGGCAACTGCTCAAAAGCAAGAGACGAGTAAAGCCTGTCAACTCTACCAAATCTTCCTTGGCATCTGAAAAGTCTGAATATGCCTGTAACTTTCTGGAACTAAGGAGAGTCCAGGCGTGTAAGGGCCAGTTAAAAGAGTTTCTTTTCAGAAAGCGTCTGCTGGGCTGTCTCCCCATTCTCGTCCTTGGGAAGAGTAGGCCTCTGGTGGTTTAGGAGAGAGAGCTTAGTGCCAGGGACAGGATGGGTCTTTGGAAATGCCTGTGATGCTGCCTGGTTCTAGATATTTGATTTTCTAGACATTTTATTTAAATGCAGGCATTTGGAAACTGCAAGTAGATGCATATATAATGTGAAGCTGGCCTCCCCTAAGAACAGATTTCTGTTTAGCTCTACTTTATTCTGGCTATGTGAAGTCTTCATTATACACTGGCTGCTTTGACCTTTATTTGACAGTCTCTGAAATTGCAGGAGAAAATAAAAAGTTTTAGAAAGACTTACCTCCTAAGCACAAGTACTGCAGAATATTTAGCACTTAAAACTTTAACTTTTCAGACAGTAATTTCTTAATTGCTTAGAGACATAGCATAGTCCTGGTACAGCAAACTCCAATAACATATGATTACCTTCACTTTTGTTCTGCTACACAACGGTTTATGTTTCCCTGCTGGGTGTTAATTATTTTTTCCTCAGATTTCAGAAGACACTTTGGCAGTCTGATGGGATAGGGCCAAAAATTTCAGTCTCAAGCTGGGAGGTCTATACAAAGGATTGAATTCTGAACCATAAATTTAAAATTAATTTCATGTAAAAAAGACAAATATATTGTGAGGGAACTTCTACTGCAGTCTTTCTAGCAATGATGCCTCTAATTTCAGAGAGTAAATCAGTCTTGGCTGCTGCTAACTGCATGCTTTGTTCATGCTTTGTGACATTCTAACACAGGCTGCTGTTGAACTAATTATTGCCCAGAAAAGGAAGGAAATATGATGTGGAAGACGCAGAGCTTGATCCACAGTTCCTCTTTAACTCAATAGGTGTCTTTCTATTGATTCTCATGAAATTTTGGATCAGGTCTGTGGAACGCAAATTCAGCCCTCCAAAAAAACAAGCCTATGACTGTTAGAACAATACAAGCAAACTTTGTACTTACAGTTTAATTCAGAGTCATGATTAAAAAAGAAATCTTATTTGCATTCAGGCCTATAGGACCTGACTTTGATTTCTTTTGTTGTTGTGCTTTTTGTCTTGGTGCTTAAGTTTTCCCTATTTAAGAAAAAATAATTCTTTCTGGAAGCTAAAATTAAGAAGCCACTTACTACTTTATTTAAATAGACAAATGTAAAATTGTTTTGGTTTGGTGTATTTACGATTTTTCTTCCCTTCTTTTCCTGACAAATTTCTATTATTAGATGAGATTCCTCAGTGTGTAGTTTTAGTTAATTTGCATTTTGGTAATTTTTTAGACGAAACATTTCTAGGAAACTCACTAATGTTCACATACTTTTGTTTTTCTTTTCCATACAGGTACTATTGGATACAATCAAAGAAACAGGATAGATACTCTTATGTATCTCCTAGCCTATCCGCAAAAGCCAATGGTAAAAACAAAAACAATTGAACTGATAGATTTTGAGAAACTGCCTGCTGGACAGAATGCCACAGTCGCTGTGATGAGCTACAGTGGTTATGATATTGAAGACGCTCTTGTCTTAAACAAGGCCTCTTTGGACAGAGGTAAGAACCATCCTTTCTTTCCCGCTTGTCTGGCGTGTGTTCTAACACATGTTTTCATAAACTCCTTGCCTTGCGGCGTTATCCTGTAACTTCTATTGCTGTTATGAATGGTGCATCTCCAATTAAGAAATTGAATTCCAAAACTGCTTTGAATGCTTTTGTTTGTTTTCTGCATGAATTGTGACTATAATTCCATGCTTGCGACAGTGCAGTGGAGTTGCTAACATGTAACTTCTGAGTATGGACATTAGAATTAAAAATGACTAACTTTTGATCTCAAATAAAGAAGTGTAAGTTGTTCCTTTCTGAAAATGTTTAGTTTACTAAAAGTGTGAAGTATTGGATAGTCTATTCGGTTGCTTTTCAGATGGTTGACTGAACGTTTGTTCATTTCTAACAGAGAGGTCTCATTTTCAGAAGTGACAGAAGCAATAAGTGAAATTAGATTTCTGAATGTATTTGGGAAAGAAATGGAATGCATATCGGTAGCATGTTCTGAGAGACAATAATATTTTCTAAAGCAAAATAATTTATTGTTTATTCAGAGACAAACTAGTGACCTACTTTCTTAAAAATAAAAAAGTAAAATCTATTCGGTGCAGTGTAGTTTTAGGTAGAAGTATGTAAGCACCAACTAGAGGGTAACTAAGTGAAACTTGTGTTTGTTCAGTCTAACTTGTCTCTCTCTACAGTTCTTCAGCACTTTAGATTAATGCTTTTGGGAGTTGGAGGAGAGTTACGTGAAAAGTTAGTATCTCTTCTCTCTCTTTTCTAAATAATTTACCTTGAGAGAAGATCAAATTGTTTTTGGTTTCGGGTGGCCAAAATCAGATTCTTCCATCACTTTATTCCCCCTCACACTCCCTTCCTCCTAGTTGCTAGGCAGCAATAATAGTATTCCTAGACATGTATCTTTGGCATTAATGTCTGCCGCATTTAATTTATGCGTCCTTTTCTGAAACAACAACAGGCATGATTTAAAGCTGAATGTTTTCTGGTAGACTGGTAATTTGCAGGGAGAGCTGTGGCGCTTGTCAGGAGTTACTTGACATAATCTGAAGATATAGATGTACTGTATGTGGCCACAACCATCTTTCAAATGAACTAAAGTAAAGTAGGATTATTAGAAAGCCCTACTCTTGCCTGTTTGTCATTCTAAATGCAGTGAAAGTGTTTAGTATTGTGGCTGGTTGCTGTACTTGGAGAGAAATTCCAGAGGTGTGACTTTTCTCATCTAAAGCCCCAAACAAACCTATTTTATAACAGTATATGTAATTCAGAATTCTTTCAGCTGTGAGAAGAGTGTGTAATGGGATGATGATATGAAACATTTAATCAGTACTTTCCTGGTAGGCTAACTTGTGTCAACCAGCAACACGAGTAAAAGTTCAGGTTTCTTAGAACTCCTAAAAGGACGAGGTGCTGTTCTAATTGTGTTAACAGTCCCTTCTCCTTTTGCACCACCAAAGGTAAGAGAAATGTTGCATGTATGTCATGGCCCATGATCTAGTGTCTAAAAAAAGTAGCATGCCTTATCTGATTTTTAAATTGTGGGCTACTAGATATCCATGTACAATGTTATGCTTATCCAAGACAGTGAATAATCTAACTAATAAAAAATTATTTTATATTCTATAGCTCAGCAGATGGATCAGCATTTTTGTTTTATTCTGATAATATGTTATAATCTTTGAACTCCTAGATTGATGAGCTTGTGTTACATTTTAGGATTTGGAAGATGTCTTGTATATAAGAATGCCAAGTGTACACTGAAGCGTTACACAAACCAGACATTTGATAAAGTTATGGGTCCGATGTTGGATGCAGCTACTCGTAAACCAATCTGGCGCCATGAAATTTTGGATGCTGATGGTATCTGCTCGCCAGGTTTGTCAAACTGCATGTTCAGTCATGGCATGTTCATAATCTGAGGTAGAAATTAATGGTCTCTTAATACGTCTTGTACACTTTATACTTTGTGTAGTTTTCTTCTTCCTTGAAGGTAACAACATTGTAATGGAAAGTTAAAAAAAGTTATTTTCTGAAAGCAGCATGATACCAGTTGTTGGGGGTTTTTTTGTGCATGAGAAAAGGGAACTTTAAGTAGAAGAGTGAATCTTTAACAGTGTGAATCTACTGAAGCATTAGAACTTGTATTCTTCTTATATCCCCAAATTGGAGAGCTTTTAATACTGTCATTTTTTACTGTCTCTCATATGTTCTGTCATCGTTTTTTTTAGATACCTTATTATTTTGATTTCATACGTGAAAACATCCTAGCATGTTGTCAGTTAATGCAGCTGTTTGCAGAGGTTAGAGCTTCCATTTTTAAGACTTTAGAAATATGGTTGGAGAGAGATAAGAAAAAAAAATTCAACTACATTTAGTTACAAGGATAGGTGTATAACTTTCCAATGGAAATAGATTTGAGAAACAGTCTTCCCATACTGTCATCCTTCAGTTAGGAAACAGCTTGATAGATCTGCTGAGATCTAGTAAGAAAGGTCCTGTAAAAGGCACCTAGCTTAATTCCATTGTAGCAACACAATTTGATCATTTTTGCTCTTTAGCACATCACAATGGAGCTTTCAAAGTTAATTTTTAAAAAAGGCAACAATCTTCTGAAGTATTAGGATAGATAGGACTGAGGCTGTTCTCAGCATGGAGGTAAAAACCCCTTTGAAATAGTTTGTGTGGACAGAAAAGAGACATAGACTGAAGTTCAGTGTAATTTTGTGGAGGAGGTGGGAGGCAGGTACTTGACCTGCATTATCGGTATCACTGGGCATGCTCCTGATCTGGTTTGCTATGTGAAGGGTAGAATAAAGAAGTGGAGAGGAAAATACTATGTATGAGACCAGAAGCAACAGGAAACAGTAATTGGAAGGAGAGGCTGAAAGTAGTCTTGCACAACTCGTTGTGGAAATGATGTGATGTCCTGAATGTAGGTGTGAGTTTCTAAAATTTGGCTGTTGGTGTTGCTTGTTAATTTTTGCCAGTCTTAAGCCAGATTACTTCAGATGGTTTTGTGTATTCTTTAGACCCAGGGTATGTTGAATAACTGTTCTCATGGTGCATGCAGCATGCAAGCTGTTCTGTTTTGGTTTACCAAACAAGCTAATTTAATGATTCCCTTACCAAGCCATAACATGGCATACTTCCTGGACACGTTCCTCCCAGTTTGTCTTCCAGCTTACCTTTTTTTAAAGCTTAAAATATATTTCTAACATATAGGTAGCCAGATATTTTCATGGTGCTTTTTGTCTCATTCTTCACAGGTGAAAAAGTAGAAAATAAGCAAGTCCTTGTGAACAAATCTATGCCGACTGTGACCCAGACACCTCTGGAAGGAAGTAGTGTGCCTCAGCAGCCGCAGTACAAAGATGTGCCAGTAACGTATGTTGCATGATCGCTTATAGTTGGGGAACCTATGTGGAGGAGAGGTATCCAAGAAAATACTCAGCCCTAGAAAAGTCAAAGGAATTGCAAAGGAAATGCAAATTAGACCTAGTTCTCAAGGTATTGATTCTTCACAGGATTTTTCAGAGCCCAGGTTATTTTCAGAAGTGCCTAACCACTTAATCACTAGTGAGTTAGATTCTGACACCTGAAAGGCTGGAATTGCAAAGAGCAGGAGGACCTCTCCTGAAGACATATGCACAGAGAGGAATCACTGAGTAGACTCCCGGGAGAAACTGAGGGGAGAGCTAAGACAGCGATAGGGTGTAGAGGAGTCACTCATGGATGAAATGATGGAGAAACAGGAGAAAAGCAGGATAAGTGGGAGGGCAGAGAGCATGTGTGTACTTGTGAGGGAGCACCTCTCCTCCATACCAGCTTTCAGAGAAAATGCCCAATGCTGACTGGTGCCCAGCCTTCACCTTGCCAGGCAGGAGGCCAGGAGATGGAGGCCTTTCTGTCTGGGAGGCTCACAGTCAGCTTGTTCTGGCCACTCCAGTTAGACATCCTTTACCGAGGCACCATGGAATGGGAAAGGACAGTCAGTAAGAGCTTTTCCCATCCCATCCTGAAAGAACAGGAGAGGGCTTCCACGGTATGAGATGAAAATTTTGCTTTAAATGTTACAACAAACAAGCAAATAAGTGGTCTTCACTCTTGTCAGGAAGAGCCTTGACAGTTCTGTAAATTAGCAGAGCAAGGTGAGCAATTGGTGCCCAGATCAGAAGGGCAGAATTAACTTTGCTGCGCTTCTGTGTGTTTCATAACCAACAGTCTAGTTTACTCCTACAAGATATTAATAAAGAAGTGAGGCAACAGTGTAATTATCAGTAGGAAAGAGGTAATCCTGCCAGGTAAAGAAATAGATCCAGGGCTCTGAATTTAGGTATCATAGTTTGACCATCTCAGCTACCTGAACAACAAGATGAAATAATCTCCTAAATAAGGTATTAAATGTGCTCTACCTTCAGTCTGCAATATATATTAAAAAGCTGCTACCAGAATAATTTTGTTCCTGCTCTGTCATGCCTACTCCTTTTTTTCTTTTTCTTTTTCTCCTGTCCTTCTAAAGTCTCTGCATCTTGGACTCTAGAGTTCATCTCTGTCTGTACCTCATCCTGTGTTCTGCCCTTGGTTCATTTCCACACCTGCACCTGATACAGAGTTTCAGTCAGGATGTTATGCCATAATTTTGTCCTTAAATATTCATGGTGTATTCCTTAAACTCTCTTATTCAACTATAACTCTCTATTAGGCTTTTGTTTGTTTAACTGAAGATCAAAATTTTGCAATATACTAGGAAGCTTCTTGCTGTCAAAAAGAGCCCAAGTGACAATTTCTTTACAGTTTCAGTTTAATTCTCCCCTTGTTTCTATTACATCTCTTAAACCTTTTATGTTCCGGAAATGTACCGTACTTAGGAACTTTTTATACCTATAATCTTTGCTCCATCGACCTCTCATAAGTATGTTCCATGAAGACTAGTTTGGCCAGAAGCTTAACAATACACAGATACTTGTTTGTAACTTGTGTTTGGTTCATAAATGTAAAACTCACGTTTTGTTGTCTTGTTCTAGCTACAAAGGTGCAACTGATTCTTATATTGAAAAAGTAATGATTTCGTCAAATGCGGAGGATGCTTTCTTGATCAAAATGTTGTTGAGGCAAACTAGACGTCCAGAAATTGGAGATAAATTTAGCAGTCGACATGGGCAGAAAGGTAAACTACATATTTAATAACAATAAATGCATGCTGGATATGCCAGCTACACATATATCATCATCCATGTTTCCATTGGTTGGTTCAGATCTTTTATGAATGCAGTGGTAGAAGACCATATCCCTTAAGTTCACCTAATTTAGCAATATGTTACTGGAATTGAAGAGAGAAATTGGCAAGCACAACTCTGTTGTGGGCTCTGTAAAACAGAGTGGTTACCCATTTAAACAAGAACAGGGGTTTGAGATTTGGTGGTGGATTGTTTTTTTCTTCCAAACATGAATTTTATTATAGGTGATAGGTTCATCAACGTATTATCAAGAGGGAAATGGGAGGAAAGAGAGTCCTGACTGGGCAGAAAAGACCAGAGATAGAACGAGATGACTGCAAGTCATCTGTGCAGACATACTGCTCTAAAGACAAGACTGCATAGGTCACTCAGAGCCATGGTGTGAAAGGGAAGCAATCAGGAATGCAACTAAGAGTGCACCAGCAGAGACTGGAAAGCATTTAAAAATACACCTGGCACGTGATCTGGGGCACCTCTGTATCTTCAAACCAGGAATTGAAAATGAGTAGCTCGAGGGAGCTGCTTGGTGGCATGTAGCTCCCTAGCGTTAATAGTAAGATGAAAATCAGGGGCCTGATTCCGTATCTGTTGAAAAAAGCAGTGGATTGCCTTTGACCTTGAGGGCAAAAAAAAGCAACTCAGATGATCCTCTCTGAATCTCAAAGGGCTAGGACTTGTGAGAGGGGTGTTCAGAAAGAAGTGACAGGAACAGTCTGACTGTGACTGACTTAAAAGCATGTTTCGATCCCGTTGGTTTCAATGTGGAACAGGTTTTTACATGTCTTCATCTATCTGTACACTTGGAAAATGTGTATTTTTTTAGTACTTTCAGCATTACCTTCTGCCTTACTGTATGTGCTGTGCTAAACCTGTTACCTGAATGTTGTAATCTTGTTACATTTTCAGGTCTTGTTTTGGTTTGAGAACATTGCTCAGTCTCTTGTCAGATGCCGTGGGGAGGCAAAGAGGTCAATATTACCAAGTCCTTTCTATTGCAATACATACACTCCTTTCCTGTTACTGGGCAAAAGTGATACCATCTTAATAACTACTGGAGCAAAAATTTCCTTACTTCCTTGCTTTGCTTTCTGAGGAACAGGAACCAGAGCATCAACTGTAAAGCACATCTGGTAAAACAAGTATCCTCTACGTCTGTCTGGAGACCAGAGGAAGGGGACTGAGGAAACAATGGAGGACACTGTTTAGATTTGAAACACTAATGCTTAAAACTAGTCGTAGTCAATTAACTTTGCAGTAACACACTAAATTTTGATACTAGCTAAGGGACCTCTTGCAAACAAACTGACCATTCATGAGCAGTTTGCTCTTTGTCAGAAGACATGTGGGAAAGAGAGTACTTTTGTTAGGAGGAGCTCCCTGAAAGCATCCCTTTCAGTACTTTGTGTTATGGTCCCACTCTGTAGCCCAGCATCATGTTGGGTTTGACCTTGTGCTAATTCGCATCCTGTGTCTTGGAGCAGAACTGGAGAATTCTGTGGACAAATAGGCCCTGAAGTCAGTAAGCAGAGAGCTGGTACTTGCACAACATCCATATGTAGATGTGAGCCAGTGAAAAGAGATGAGACTGCAACAGATGTCACCAGCACACAAGCAAAATCCAGCTCTAGAATTATCTTAAATGAAGGTTAAACAGAATTGTCTCCAGCATATTCAGAGCCTGTGTCATTAGAGGAGATATGAAGAGCAGTTGCTTACAAATGGACAGCAGGCACAAGAAAGAAGTAGATTTTAAAAGGCTTCACGTCACTTTTTACTTCTTTACTCACATATGTAGCCTAAAGTAAAACTTGAGGTTCTTTATGACTTTCTGAGGCCATGGAAGTCCTTAAGCATCAGTGGCAATGAGGTGGCCAGGTGTAACTGAAAGACTGCATCCCCGTCATGAGATGCAGAGCTAACCACAGTAATCCCCATTTCTGTAGTCTCCAGGTTTGGTGATCAGGACATCTACCTAGAGCAAACCTATCAGTCAAAAGCAGTGAAGTAAGTACAAAAAGGTAGTAGTTGATCATAATGTCAGCTGTTACCAGATGTGGCCTCAAGTTCATGTGTGTTTTCTACAGAGTACAGTCATCACAAGCTTTCACAGGATGCCCAGCTTTATCAAAAACCACCCTTACTTCCACAAGCCCATAAAAGGTTCTTCAAACTCTGTATTCTAATCCTTCCATTGCCTCTGCTGTCATTAAGAAATAAAAACTCTTCTGATAAGCACTGAAATATTTTTCCCGATTGCATTTTCGAGATGGTTTTTGATCTAAAAATAGGAAGCAATTCTCACTGAGAACCCAAGTGATTTGGAAACCAGTACCTGCCTGAGGCTTCAGAAAATAAAGAAGTAGCAGTACGTTCCTTTTAAAATCCAGTCTAGTTCGTGCACTGCAGCCGTATAGGATAGTTTTGGTAAGGGAGGTGGAAGCTTCTGAAGCAGACAGAGTTGAGCAGTTGGAATGATTCTTTTTCTCCGGGAAGCTTCTTGTTCAGGAATATTTTACATAGAGTCTCTTTCAAATAATTTTTTAATCCCATACTCAATGAGGATGTGCAGTACTTTGAACCCTGTGACTGTTCTTAGAGCAAAGCCCATTTCTTCTAATGTTTTGAGCTTTGTCTAATTAGTTCTTTCTCCTTATAAGTGACATGCAGCATTTTAGCTGCAAGTTATTATACAACAGTATGATTAGTACTATAATTTTCTTACTAGAATTTTTAAAAATAGCCTATAAATGGTATTAAAGAAGCTGCTCAGTTAATCATGGTAAGTATTTATGGGCATTTGCATGAAAGATTTAAGCAGGTAAGATTTTTGTTCTAGTTTGAGCTATTGATGTGCACCTGTTGAAATAGTTGAACAGGGTTTAAATGGTTTTCTGATTTTCATACCTCTCCAAAAATCAAGAAGAAAGGTGCTCCACAAATCTGGAACTGTCAGAGGAGAAAATGTGGAAGAACAACAGGAGGAGACAGAGTTGTGTCAGACAGGCTGCAATATGGCTTTAGGGCCTGCCTTATCGCTAAATGCACCTAAGACATCTCGCAGCCTGGAGCAAGCTCGTTTTAGAGGTCTTGAAGGACAGACATCACATAAGTACTTCTCCTCATCAACCCCCAATATTCATGGTCAAATACAGAAACAACTAATACGCACCATATTGGAATCTGTTGGTATTTTCTTTAATATCCCGAAAGCCATAGAAGGTGGGTTTTTTTTTCCAAAGTAAAATAAAACATACCTGTGGAAATGCCGTAGTAATGAAAACAACATCCTAAATGCTGTAAGGAACTTTGAGGGCGCCCATAGCAATGCCTGGTGTTGCATCAGGCTGGAATGACTGGTCCCTCATGTACCTGTACTACGGACCTGTAATAATAATAAGCCAAACCCATCTATTATTGAGAACAGTAAATGTCCCTTTCAGCTTTGGAAATACGAGTGTAAACATTGCAACAGTTATGTTACGGGAATTGTGGGCATACGCTTGTTAGCTGTCCAGTACATCAACCTGTAGTAATCTCTTGCGGGAGTGACACATCCTGAATTATTACATTCTCCTGTGATCCATAGCTTTCCTGGTAGTAAACCTCTTGCTTCACTGGCTTGTTGTACGTTATGGGAAAAGACATTACAATAAATGGGAGAAAGGAGAAATGTGCTTAGTGGACAATGTACATGTGTTAGATACCAAGGAAGACAATACTGAAAAGTACAGTGGAATTCATAGTTTTGTAACTTCAGTATACAGTGAAGAACCAGATGCTGACATTAATGTTAGATTACAGACAACGATAGAGCGGGAGAAAAGATATGAAAAGGAAAGGGAAAACCTTTGCTAGCTGTTTAAAAATACAGCTGATATCATCTTTCTCTGAATTGGGGAAGGATCAGTCATAACAGAGGAATACAGACAATTGTGAAATAGAAATCATAAATATTAACGGTTTAACATTTTCCATTGAGAAGATTTTTAATTAGCCCTGAATTTGTTCTCTCATCTTCGTCTGAATGCAGGTGATTACTCATTCAAGTTTAATTTGTGAATGTTAGCTTTAAGCCCGTCATAGGGCCACTTTAAACCTATGATGAGCTTGAACTAACAAGTACATTGATTCAATGAGGAGAAAGTGTATTTCCCTCTGTATTGTCAATCATTTCTGTGATATTTTTATTTCCTAGAAGGAACGCATGAAGATGAGATGTGTTTTCACTCAATTATAGTAGTAGTTTTAAAGTAATTAAGTATGTGCAAAGTAAGAGATGGCACAAACCACAGGTCTCAAGTTGTTGGGGGTTTGGTTTGGGTTTTTTTTTATGAGCTTTTTCCTGTATTCCAAATTGATTTGTATTTCAAAGCCATACTTTGTCACTGGGAGTAAGTGAACTGCAAATTGTCTGGGATTTGACAGATTAAATCTCACAAACCAGCTTTAGGCTTTTATTACAGAAGAGCCTTTTGTTAAATATGTAGGTGGGTTTTGTAGGCCTCTCTAATAATATAGATCTATGCCACTGCCTCTGTATTTGCTGCCTTTTTTTATGTCCTCTCACATGTCAACATGGTATTAGCAAGGGTCACCACTTCTGGCCTGTCCACCATACCCTCTTTTCATGTAAGTCTGTGTTTTAAGTACACTTCTTCCAAACTGCCTGTTAAAGCTACCCTTTCCTTCAAGACCTGGTAACAAGTATATGGG